ATCTTCTTGCAACTCCTGACAATAATCGCCCAGTTCTCAATAAATATTGGTGGTATTGATTTTGAGTTTAAGTAAATCACGTTACAGGTTCTGGCTTTGTTGGCACATGGAAGTCACCTGGGGAGACAAAAAAAGTTCTCATGCTAGGTTTCACCCCTCAGAGATTTTAACTTAATTGATCTGAGGTGTAGCCAGGATACTGGAATTTTAAAAGCTGCCCAGGTGGTTCTAATGTGCACTCAAGATCTGGAACCACTGCCTTGGCCAAGATCAAGAACCACTGTATTAGACAGAATTTAATTTAGAAGAGGAGACAATTTATAAGGTTGTTCTTTTTTTTTTTACCTTTGCACAATACTTTTTTGTTGTCAAAAATAAGCATTTACTTGCATTTTAATGTTTAGATACTTCCTATTATTAACAGAAAGTTTTTATATATGAATTACAATATGAATTTGTGAATTTTGCCTATCACTTTGACTCTATGGAATACATTCTGCAAACAGGAAAAGTGTGTTCTCTACTTTTCATAAAATTTAAATCAATTCAAAACACATTTCTGAGGCTTTTAAAGTAGTCATTAACCAGTGGTTCTCAACCTTGGCTGCACATTAGAGCCAGCTGGGGAGTTTTAAAAATCCCAGTGTCTAGGCTGCACCCTCCACCAATTAAATGAGATTCTCTGGGGATGAGACTTGAGCATCAGCAGGTTGTAAAGCTTCCCAGGTGATTCCAATGTGCAGCCAATGTCGAAGAACCAGTGACCTGAACGAAAACTGTTCCTAAACGAATACATTTATCTTTATAAACATACATATTTATAATTTGTTTACATAAATTATTATATTAATTGGGTAAAAATAGGAAGTATCACTTATTCTATCCTCATGCTCTTAAAAAAATCTTAGCTGTTCATAAATGTATGCGCGGCATTGTACTTTCATTTTTTTTGAGGCAGGGTCTCACTCTGTCACCCGGGCTAGAGTGTAGTAGAACAATCACAGCTCACTGCAGCCTCGAACTCCTGGGCTCAAGTGATCCCGTCACCTCAGCCTCCTGAGTAGCTAGGACGACTACAGGTGTGCACCAACATGCCCAGCTAAGTTTTTTATTTTTTGTAGAGTCCGGGTCTGGCTATGTTACCCAGGCAGTCTTGAACTCTTTGCCTCAAGTGATCATCCTGCCTCAGCCTCCCAAACTTCTGGGATTACAGACATGAGCCACCACATCTGGCCATTAATCATTGACTTTATACCCTAATTTTACAGATGAGAACATTGAGAAATAGATAGACAAAGTGATGTAGGGCCTAGGTTGTGGCATGTGAGGTGCCTAGAGCTTGAAATTTAAGGAGGCACTCACTCTCAGCATTGTGCAAGTATATGCTGGCACCTGAGTGGGGGTGCCACCTTAAGTCATTTGCCCTAGATGTCTCCTTTCACCTTAGTCCCAGCCCTGAAAATGATTTACCCCAAATCCCACAGCTAGGCAGTGGGGGGAGAGATGCTATGACCAGAATCTAGGGCAACTGAGCATTCCTCTCTCTACCATCCTTATAGGTCAGGAAATATATCTTATATTAGAAAATGCAGAATACCATCTGCTTTAATTTAGTGTGGTAGGCTGAATAATGCCTCCCCGCAAAAGTTCACGTTCTAATCCCCAAACCTGTGAATAAGTTATATGGCAAAATGGACCTTACAGGCATGATTAAATTAAGGATCTTGAGATGGGGAGATTATCCTGGATTATCTGGTGGACCCAATGTAATCACAAGGGTCTTAATAAGAGTGAGGCAGAAGAGTCAGAGTCACAGGACATGTGGCGACAAACAGAGGATGCAGCAATGCTATTGTTGAAAGGAGGCCATGAACCAAGGAATGTGGACAACCTCTGTAAGCTGGGAAAAGCAAAAAAACAGATTTTCCCCTAGAGCCTCTTGAAGGAACACAGCCCTGATGATACCTTGATTTTTGACCTATGAGACCTGTTTTTGGACTTCCGACATTCTAGAACTATGAAATAATAAGTTTATGTTGTTTTGTTAGTAAGTTTGTGGTAATTTGTTATAGTAGCAATACAAAACTAATATACTCAGCTTAAATTTATTTGCTTACTCCGATAAAACCACATCTGACTATAGTTACTAATAAGACTCCTTGATGTAAAAATAATTCAATGATTATCATTTGCTACAGAAATACAAGTAGGTGCCTTAATGTATATATTTACTAATAGGTAAACTCACAGAAAATACCATAATCCCTTCTCCTTTACTAAGGGTCTGTATTTACTTTGGTTATCTGATGAGGCATGGATTTGCTTCTCTCATCCCCAAATCTGACTAATGACTGCTGTCCTTAAGAAATCGGAGGAGCCATTATTGTTTTTCTTGTAGCAAGTCACAAGGTCAAACAGGCTTTAATCACATATTCTTTCCTGCCAAGCCACACAAATTATTAAGGCCACAAACGTGTCAGGTTGAAGTGAGGGAGACCTGTGTATTTCCTTTCAAAAAAGAGAACTTGAGAGATTAGCTATATTGTACACCATGGAATAATTTCCATGCATTTGGGAAAAGACACAAGGGACAGATACTAAATTCAGTTTGGCATAGTACAACACTCTCACATAGGCAAATTTTTCCTAGACAATTCCCTAGGAAGACTCCATGTTGGAGACCAACATATTGCCTCTCAATAGGTCTACTGTAGTTAGTTTTTTCTCCAAAGTTGGAACTGATTGCTATTTAATAGTGGATAGCCAAATGAACTAGTTGGCTCATATTTAGGTGCCATGTTTCATAGCAAAAAAAAAAAAAAAAAAAGAGTCATCTAAAATACTTAAATTATGCTCAGTGCAGTGATTTGTGTATACTGTGGGAGACACCTGGAACTAAGCCAATAAAGAAAATAGATTCTCATCTTATCCTGGGGTGTATACTTACTGGGGAAAATGGTAGACAGAATCATCAGCATTATTTAGGATGTTATTGCTTTTTCTCTTGCTTGCTGTTCTTATTTGCTGTTCTCTCTCTTTTTCTCTCTCTGATAAAGCACATGCAATTGAATTTGAAAAAAATTAAAAATTAAATGTGAATATGATGCTACTCTTTCATAAAATTAAACTTTTCCATTGGAACCTGCAAAATTTCATTCACTGATATAGTATTGGAGATATTGTTGGTGGAAGGTGGAATTTAGAGAGTGGCGGGCTGGGAAGATGAGAAGGTAGACTTATTCTGTGAGCCCTTGAGACTTGCAACCAGTACTAGTGGGTGGGAATTGGAGACACAGACTCAATATGTATAAGAACTTTCTTACAGCGCACATTTTTCAGAAGTAAAAAGAAAATTTTCTGGAGATGATGATCTTCCCAATACCCCAGGTATTCAAGCTGAGATTAGCCAATCACAATGCAAGAAAGAGATTAAAGCACTGAATAGAAGATATGAGGCTCTTTTAGATCTCTTTTAAACTGATATTCTCCATTAAGATATTTTCACTGTTCCATTTCTCCTCAAGAGATTTGTTTCTCACTTTCCAAAAATATAAAGCAGCCATAAATAAAAAATGCATGCAATTCTCTTACATTTTAAGATTATTTGATCACCATAGAAATTCCAAAATACTACAGCATGGTGCTTCTTCTTGTATAGGATACAATGCCTTGTTAAATGACAGTTTTTCTGTAGAATAGAATTTAATACTAGATATTTTATTATGGGCCCATTCAGTAACATCATGTGTGAATTCCACCAAAGTCTCCTTGTTGTGAGGTCTAAATTCCAATTTGTGAGAAGCAAACGAAGGGGTTACAAGGAAGCTATTGGGGCTGTCCCTATTTCTTTCCCTTAAAGTAGGTGCCACAACATTTTCCAACCACTGGGTTTTGTGTTTAAGAGACCGTGAAGGAGAAACCTTCTTCAGAGCCCTTCTGGGGCTGGCTGCAGTTCACGCCTGTCAGGGTCTTGCCATGTGTAAATCACGCACCCAAATATATCCAGATAGAGCCCATCCATCACAGGCTGGCGGTGATTTGGGCTGCATTCTCTGTAAATCTGGTGAAAATAACGTATTTGTGCTGTGAGATGACATCTCATAATGAGATTGTGATATTCCATAGCATGTGATTTGCTATTTGTGACAAAGATGAATTTCACAGTGAGTACAGCTGCTGAGAGGCTGCCGGGCCTGGCAGATACGTGTAAGGTAAGGCCCTCTCTCAGGCCATCCAGTCATAGCTCTTCTCTACTGGAAATAATTTCTCAGGACTGCCAAGAACGAGTTGCCAGATTGAATTTTCTCTAAAGGGTAGCTGAGTATTTAGGCAAAGCAAAATCTCTAAAGGGAAAAATAATGTCTGAAAGACATTATTCCTTGATTGCGTTTGTTGTTTATGGTAGCAGAACCCAACAGCCCACGACTGAGGTTCTGCAGGGGACCCCTGTGCCTTCAACACACGCAATTGATGCAAAGTAAAAACTATCTTTATGTTCAAAATAAAATAAATAACCTAAGATATTCAGATTCTTACTCTCAGAGTCATACACGGAACCATTTTATACATTCATTATTTTAAGGGTCCTAAGTTGTACTGAGTCCTTGCCACATAAAGTGTGGTCCCCAGACAGCAGTATTGCTATTACCTGGGATGCTTATTAGAAATACAGATTCTTGGGTTCCATCCTAGACCTACTGAATGAAAATCTGCATTCTAACAAGATCACCAAGTGGTTCTTATACACATCAAAATTTTATGAGCACTGTACTAAGTGATCTTTGAGATGTTATGGTATATTCATCAGCACCAATAATAATACCAATGATATAATTAATTCCAAATATATACATGTTTATAACTTTTTGCATTTTACAAAGAATTTTCACAATTATTACCAAATTTGAGCGTTCCCATAACCTTGTAAGGTAGGTGCCATTGTCGTAAATTTCTAGTTCAAGCAATTGAAATTCATAGTGATCAATAGTTTTGTACAGAGGGAGCGATCTCCGAGCGAGGCAGCAAGATGGACGCGGGATTCTTCCGCGGAACAAGTGCGGAACAGGATAATCGGTTCAGCAACAAACAGAAGAAACTACTGAAGCAGCTGAAGTTTGCAGAATGCCTAGAAAAAAAGGTGGACATGAGCATAGTAAATTTGGAGGTTATAAAGCCTTGGATAACAAAAGGAGTAACAGAAATCCTTGGGTTTGAAGATGATGTTGTGATTGAGTTTATATTCAACCAGCTGGAAGTGAAGAATCCAGACTCCAAAATGATGCAAATCAACCTGACTGGGTTTTTGAATGGAAAAAATGCTAGAGAATTTATGGGAGAACTGTGGCCCCTGCTGCTAAGGGCACAAGAAAACATCGCGGGAATTCCTTCTGCTTTCCTAGAACTGAAGAAAGAAGAAATAAAACAGAGACAGATTGAACAAGAAAAACTGGCATCTATGAAAAAGCAAGATGAAGACAAAGACAAGAGGGATAAGGAAGAAAAAGAAAGCAGAGAAAAAAGGGAGAGATCTCGGAGCCCAAGAAGACGCAAATCCAGATCTCCTTCCCCTAGAAGACGATCTTCCCCCGTCAGGAGAGAGAGAAAGCGCCGTCATTCTCGATCTCCCCGTCACAGAACCAAGAGCCGGAGTCCTTCCTCTGCTCCAGAAAAGAAGGAAAAAAACTCCAGAGCTCCTGGAACCTTCAGTAAAAGTAAAAGAACCTTCAGTACAAGAGGCCGCTTCTACTAGTGACATCCTGAAAGTTCCCAAGCCTGAACCTATGCCAGAGCCTAAAGAACCTTCTCCAGAAAAAAATTCCAAAAAAGAAAAGGAAAAGGAGAAGACTCGACCAAGATCTCGGTCACGTTCCAAATCACGATCCCGGACAAGGTCTCGCTCTCCTTCTCATACTCGACCTAGACGGCGCCATAGATCCCGATCAAGGTCGTACTCACCTAGAAGGCGCCTGAGCCCAAGAAGGCGCCCATCTCCTCGAAGAAGAACTCCACCAAGACGAATGCCTCCTCCACCAAGGCATAGAAGGAGCAGATCTCCAGTAGGACGAAGAAGGCGTTCATCAGCATCTTTGTCTGGGAGTAGCTCACCATCCTCTTCATCTCGTTCCCGGTCACCGCCAAAGAAGCCTCCCAAGAGGACATCCAGCCCCCCTCGAAAAACTCTTAGGAGAAGAACAGCTTCTCCCCTCCCCCTCCCCCTCCTAAATGAAGGGCATCACCATCTCCACCACCAAAGCGTCGGGTCTGCCGCTCTCCACCTCCCAAACAAAGAAGCTCCCCAGTCACCAAAAGACGATCGCCTTCATTATCATCAAAGCATAGGAAAGGATCTTCCCCCAGCCGCTCTACCCGGGAGGCCTGGTCACCACAACCAAACAAACGGCATTCGCCCTCATCACGGCCTCGAGCTCCTCAGACCTCCTCAAGTCCTCCACCAGTTCGAAGAGGAGCATCGTCATCACCCCAAAGAAGGCAGTCCCCATCTCCAAGTACTAGACCCATTAGGAGAGTCTCCAGGACTCCGGAACCTAAAAAGACAAAAAAGGCTGCCTCACCAAGCCCACAGTCTGTAAGGAGGGTCTCATCCTCCCGATCTATCTCCGGATCTCCTGAGCCTGCAGCTAAAAAGCCCCCAGCACTTCCATCCCCTGTCCAGTCTCAGTCACCCTCTACCAACTGGTCACCAACTGTACCAGTCAAAAAGGCTAAAAGCCCAGCACCAAGCCCATCACTGGCGAGAAATTCAGATCAAGAAGGAGGTGGAAAGAAAAAGAAGAAAAAGAAGGACAAGAAACACAAAAAAGGATAAGAAGCACAAGAAGCACAAAAAACATAAGAAGGAAAAGGCTATGGCTGCAGCTGCTGCAGCTACTGTGACCCCTGCAGCCATTGCTGCTGCCACAACCACATCAACACCAGAAGAACCACAGGCAGCGCAGGAGCCTAAGAAGGAGACTGAAAGTGAACTGAAGATAACCTTGATGACTTAGAAAATCACCTGCGTGAAAAGGCCCTGAGATCAATGCAGAAGGCTCAAGTGTCTCCACAGTCTTAGGTGGAAATGTTTGTTATGATGTAAATTTTATTTGGTTTGTACGCAATTCAATTTCAAAATTGCTAAAATGTGTTTGAGCTTTAGACTATAACATTTGTTGTAATAATTGCTAGGTTGAAGTTCACCATGTAAAAAAAAAAAAAGGCATGGATTTACATTGCAAAAGGAGTCCACAGTGTATTAGTGACATTCTTTCATTGACAGCTGACATAAATTCATTTGGAGTGAAATATTTTAAGCCAAAAAAAATTCCCTTTTTGAAAAAGGGGGTTTAAATATTGTTGGCATTCTTATAGTTCCTTTAAATGCCCCTGGCTATTCCCAGAGGGTTTTTTTTTTCCTTTTTTTCTTTTTCTTTACTTTTTCTCCTTTGAGTCTTAGAACCCATTTAAGTTATGCTTTCAACCTTGTATGGTTTGTAAGCTTGCCCAGAAATAAGACCATTGTTGAATTACCACAAAAGTAGAAATGAATATTTTAATGCCACAATCTTTCCTGTTGCCTGTGGAGTCTCTGCTGAAACGAATCAGGATTCAAGCTCTAGGTTGAGACAAAATGAAAGCAGGTTGTTCGCCAGGACACTGTGGGTTTATATTGATGTATAACAAGTTGATTTGGAACACTGGAGTTTCATTCTATTCTGTTCTGTTTTTGTTTTTTTCTTTTTGTTTTGTAAAGGCAATTAACTAGTCCCAGGAAGGATCCTTCAGTTACATAAAGTTTGTTTCATGCAATGTCATGGCTCCATTCATATTTTTGTCTTGTTCTTCCAATTGGTATATACAACTTTCAGAGCTCTTGTATTTGGAAGACTGGAAGGGCCCAGACTTTGAAATAGTGTCTTGGTTTCACTGTTTTTGTTTTTTTTTTTTTAAACTAAAGCTATATAAAGCTTGTGGATTAAACAGAATAAATTTCTAAGTTTAAAAACATTAAAAAAATAGTTTTGTACAAGATATATGTAAGTGAATAGGGGGCCTAAATTCAAACTCAAGACTCCCCCTTGCCTCCAATGCCTATATTCCTTTTTCATCATTGTTAGAGCATGCGCTATGAGTTTGTTTGCTTTTATCCCCAGGAGTGATGAGAGATATGAAGTCTCTCAGACTCTCAGGTATCCCCATCATAAACAAGAATAGGCATCTATAAACGACTGGCTGGACCTTTGGTTATTATGTGTGGCTGAGTCTGTGCAGAATGTTTCTGAGTCCAATGGGATCAAATCTGACCTCAATCCTGTTAGGTCTAGATTCTGAGAAGTCCTTCATCAGCCACTTCACAGTATGGCTTGATTTACGATTGATCACATAGGTCAACTTGGTGATACCCAGAACTGTGTCAAACTATTAATTCTACAATTTCTCTAAGGACCCTAATGGTCCAGAAAAATTTCCCAAGCCAGCCACTCAAACACAGACTAATATAGCAAACACTCTGTATTATATACCTGCTCTGGCAAGAGACGCTCAAAAATGCTTTTGATGAGAGAAGATGACTTATTAGTCACCAAGTGTCATGTATAATGTAGCCACTGCTCTAGGAGCTTTTATGCTTTGGCCCTGGAATTCAGAGGGCCTTGTGACAAAGTGAAGCTAAAGGTCAAGGATGCCAATGAGACACAGGCTAAAAGAATTCTCCAGCCTTTCTCTGAGGCTCTTAAAAAAGCTCACAGGCTTGTAAATACAGGGACGTTGGAATTGAGAGAGAATATTTCAGGGCAGGGGTGCAAGGACAGACTAAATGTATTAGACACGTGTCTTTTCTTGGTCTAGTACATAGAAATATCCATAATATAAATATTTTTATAAGAGATTGATATTCATTTTTAACAAAGAAGGTTTTGTGTCAAAGGAAACAAACTGATGTATGTATTTGAGGGATTTTAAGCAGAGAAGTAAACTCACCGAGCTTCTCATTTAATATTTTCAATTAACATCCTTGAAAATTAATCAACTTATTCATATAATGGGCTAGACAGGCTGTTAAAGACATTTTAAAATTAAAAAGGAGACATTTATAACACTGGATTTTTGCCTTAACTGAGGAGTGGATGTTGCAGAATGTACAAGAACAGTAATGGCAAAAATAAACTGATGCTAACTCAGAACTTAACCCGTGCTCTTATGGATCAGCGAATCTCCCATTTAGATTTCGGAGGATTCAACTCCTACATACATAATTCATGTAAGTACTTCCTTAATTGTGTACAATCTATATGGTACTTTCTACACATAAAGCATTCCCTTGCGATATTGAAGCACTAATTCTTCCGCTCTACTGGCTCACCATTTCTTCCCTGTAATTCTGAGATGATAAAAATCAAATTCCAACTGCATTTCTCTCTTCTTCCTTCTTCATTCTCCAAAAGCCTAATCATGCAACAAACAACTCACAGCCACAACCCCTCTGGTTTATGGAATCACATTTTGCAATGTTGTTATTTATGCCCATATTCATGTTAAAATATTAACACAATTACTGACTTCAGTCTCAACTGCAGCCTTGCTAGGAGAAAGTCTGTCTTCTTATATGGAAATGCTTTTCTTTTAAGAAGGTGACTTGCTTATGAATTCTCATCTATCCTTTTTCCCATTTCTTTCACTGAGGAGAGAAAAGGCCCAATCTATAGTGAATTAGAAAGAAAATAAATGCTGTGGAAGCACCTTTATAACGATCTTCCTTGACCAGTCCCCTGTGCATTAGAGAAATGTCTCTGCTCAATGCAGCACATGTACTTGTCCAGTGCACACTCCAAAACACACTTAGTCTATTAACATTTTATCACATGGCATCTTGGGAAAGAATTTGGCAAAGATATTATTTATATAAAAATAGGGATGATTATCATGATAGAAAATGAGAAAATATGGTGTTTTCATATGGAAGAAGAAATTACCCAAAAGTTTCAGAGTGGATTAGAAAAGGTGAAAATGCCCTATATGGGCACCTGTGATTAAAGTTTTCCTCCCCTTTTGGGTTTATAGTTAAGATATTACTATTAATTAGGTACTAATATTAGCTCAACTTTAGAGATGAGAAAACTGAAGCTCGGAGAGTTTGGGTAACTTGTCCAAGGTCATGACATACATAAATGGCAGAGCTTGGATTCAAATTCGGAACTGATATTTTAAATCATTACATTATAGCACTACTCATATGAGTTGCTATAGTGCTTTGTAAATTAGAAAGCATAGTGCAAAGCTGCTGTCTCCTTCACGTTTATTTTGTAGCCACCTTCTGTTGCTATTTGGTGAGCTCAAGTGCAGCGAATATCCTCTTCAAACGCCATGTGATGATGGGGATCTCCACGTGAGTAGTTAGTCTTTCCAGTAAATTGCGTATTGCAATAAAAAGTGATCTCTCCTTGTTCTGGTACATTTTTCATTGTGTTTAGTGCAATACTGTAAACTTTGAATAATACCATGGGACCAAGACTAAGTGCCACTAGTAATGCTAGAAGTGCTCCCAAGAAGCGAAGTCATGACATTACAAGAAAAAGTTGAATTGCTTGATAAGTACCATAAACTGAGGTCTGCAGCTGCAGTTGTCCACCATTTCAGAGATAAAATTCATTTTGTAAACAGACCACATAAACTTACAGTATCTATACCTACAGTACCGTACTGTAAAGGTATTTTCTCTTCCTTATCATTTTCTTAACATTTCTCTAGCTGAACTTTTTTTAAGAATACACATAACATACAAGATATTAATTAACCATTTATGTTATTGGTAAGGCTTCCAATGAACAGTAGGCTGTAAGTAGTTATGTTTTGGGGGAGTCAAAAGTTATACATGCCTTTTCAATTATGTAGGAATCAGCACACTTGTATTATTCAAAGATCAACTCTACATGGTTTTTTTTAAAAATATATAGTTTACTTTCATATTATTCTGCAACTTTTTTTTTATTTTCTACTTAAACTGTCTTGAAAATCTTTGCATGTCAGCATACACAAAGCCACCTTGTCCTTTTAACCATTACCTGGTACTGCTCATTTACAAAGAGTCCTCCCTTCCAGAAATACTGCTTATCTTTCTATTTATTTAGGTCTTTGTTTATGTATTTTAGTAAATCATATAGTTTTTGAATTTCTAGAAATTTTATGGTTTCAGTTGCTGATGTGATTGTGAGTTTTATTTTATATTTTCTAAATTGGCTTTGCTAATATTTAGGAAAGCCATTGGTCTCGAATCTAGCCATAATGCTAAACTCCTAATCTAATAGCTTGATTCTTGTAGATTTTCTACATAGATGATCATATTATATGCAAATATTGGAAGTTTCTTCTTTCTCTTCCCGTAACTAATAGAATTGTTTGTTCCTTTACTTTGTCTTATGATATGGGATAAGATCTTTAGTATGATGTCAAATAAGAGTGGTGATTGTAGGGGGCTTCTTTAATTTGTTTCGTGTTTAACTGAAAATGTTTCTAATGTTGTTATGACATTTGTTTTAGGTTCCTGGTACATGGCCTCTTTCTAGTATGGAAATTTTCTGATGGCTTTTAATCAGGGATAGCTGTTGAATTTTATCGAGTGCTTTCTTTTTCTGTATTATTTTCTATATCTGTTGAGACCATCTTATTGTTTAACTTATTTTTTCTGTTAATGTAGTGAATTCTATGTGTGGAGCTTCTGCTCATGTTATTTCGTACTTCTCGTATCAACTCGTCAGCTTTAATCTTTTAAAATGTTACTGGTTTGCATGACTGCCACCCTCTTCTTCCCTGAAAAAATAACCCTGAAAGGTCTTTGAAAACCATATAACTTTCCTACTGTGGATTCTCAATTAATGTTGAATGATGTATCTTTATGAAAATTCACGTCTGTTATGTCATCTGAGTAACACTGTAGCCATGCAATTAAGTGTTATTCTTAAGTCCTGAATATGTATAAACTGAAGCTGGGGTCTGAGGACTCAAACCAAGTTAGAGCCAGAGCTAGGTCTCTAATTTAAGTTCTATTACTCTAGGGCAACTGCTCTTTTTGCCAACCCA